TAGTGGGATTGACCGTCACATTATAACGCCCCCACGGCTGAAAGGGCGAGCATGTTTGGTGTAACGGGGATTCGACCTTCAGAAGCTAGTCGAACGCCCTAACCACCTGGCCATGCCGGGCTAAAAGCGTCTAAGGGATCACATAGGCAATATTCTTTCAAGGTGATGACTGATGTTTTGCACTTGCAAACAAACAGTTTACGCTGACAAAAATATAAATATATATACTAGGGCGACGTTTCGGTACATCTGTGTTTGTCTTGGTCCATTACAATTGTACTTTAATATTATCCTAGTACTATTTTTGTCTAGACAAATTATTTGTTTGAAAGTGCTAACGGAGACAGCTCAGTGGCTAGCGCAGGGGTCGACAACCTGCGGCTCTTTAAGGAGAATTGTGCGGCTCTCGAGCTATCTACTGTGTCCACCAAGGGGAATCGAACCCTTGTTTTTAACGTTGTAAATCCGAAAAATCACCACTGTCCCACCGGGGGACCTTTTTAAATGTTAGACCGCGTTAGAGTATATAGCGGCTCTCGAAATGTTTAAATCTTAGACAAAAACATAAAATGGTTCTTCTTCTTCTTTGATGGGTTGCCGACCCCTGGGCTAGCGTGTCGGGACTGCAATCCAAAAGTTTGTGGTTCACGCCCTGTAATTGTAAACACGTACTCTTCACTTTGGGGTTGTGGATGCACTATAAGAGTAATAGTCAACTTTCACTACTGGTTCGGATAAGAGTAGCCTAAGTGTTTTTCTGTTGTGTTGAAGAGTAGCTGCTTTCGTCTAGCCCATTAGTTCTCAATTACGGGTGCATGTACCCTTGGGGGTACAAAATTACTTCCAGAGGATACAGTGCAGCTCAAACAAAAACTGATAGCGCCACTGTGGGGGGTCGGTGGGGGGGGGGTACAGGATAATTTGTAAATTAACTTGGGGTATCAACTGGAAAAGATTGAGAATCACTGCTCTAGTCTATCAGTTAAAAATTAGATACAGCTACGCGCAAATAGACCTTATGTAGTTTTACCCGGAAAGTCATCCAATCTATAATGAATTTTTATTCAAGTACTTTCCTAAATTGTAAAAGCAGCCTAATTATACAAATAAAAACTAAAATAATTTGAAAAGTAAGTTAGAGGTGATTAAAACAATGTTGTATAAAAATGGACTAATAATACTTAATGTACAACAACATAAAACTGTGTTCTATATATATTAGAAATTTAGGGCATTAAATAGTTAGTTGTTTAATAGTTTATTGAACTGTGCCATGCTGTAATTTTTTTTTCAAATTAGTAATATTATATTGATTAATAAACATAATATTTTGGTAAATTATATAGATCAAATAGCTACCAAGCGTTTTATTTAATAATCTCAATAATTTTTTTAAATCATTATGCGCTTGGTTATGGTATATTTCAATTTCAGACGCAACGCTTTTGTTGTAACAAGAAACGTAACTCAGTGATTTCATTACTGTATGTATTATTGACGAAAATGGCTGCTTTTGCTGGAGAAAAGAGAATGAATCTCGCTGCTTTACAAAGAGTTGATCCTTTGATTCACAGAATAATAGGCAGTGCTACTCAAGTTGCATTGTATTGTTTTAATTCAGAAATGAGGAAATGGGTGAGTATTAGAAAAAGGTTTTATATGAAAATCAGGTGTATACTATAGACTCTAGTTTACTGTATAGCCTAGGCTGTACTCTAGCCAATAACTTGAATAACTTCAGTAATTGAATAAGATTTGTTAACTTACGGTTAATGCATTTTATATTATAACATGTAAACTACTGGTTTAGTTTAAATACTTAATTTCTTACTTCAGTGTTCAATTTCAAACTTCAGTTGATTTATATTTTAAATTAAGTGTAGCACTAATAATAATAGTAATAATTACACTTTTACAGTCAGTACTACTACTAGTAGTGCTACTTCTGTTCTAATACTAATAGTGATACTACTACTAGTAGTAATAGTACTATTGTTATTAAACGTATTATTAATTTATTATAAAAGAGAAGTAAGTTACTAACAATATATCATCATCATGATATTCATAGACTTAGATATATACATTGAACTTCTTGTTATTGTTAATCTGTTTAATATGAATATTGTAAACTTTTTCTAAACTGTTAGAAAAATCAAGATGACCCTATATAATCTGAGTCAGTGTCTTCACCCTAATTACTATAAATTGAGACATAAATAGGATTTTTGGCCCATCAAAGATGTGCCTTCTTCAACAAACAAAACTAATCACCAAATCCATTCTTAATTCTTTAAATATTCACAACCCATTTCTGTAAAATTGCAGCCTTAGTATAAGATTAGGTTTTATATTTTGCTACATGTTAAAATCAAGGAAAATGACAATTTTATTCAGAATTTTCAGAAGCCAATAATGAGGCATGCAACAAGATGTGTGGTTAGTGAATAAACAAGTTATCATTAATGAATCTGTTAATAATGAAATCCAAGGTCCACACCCACCAATCAGAGAAAAGTAAAATTTTGAGCCCATCCTTTATGTTTTAGGAAATCAAAATTCCTCTGAAACTTATAAGCTACTAGCCCATCTACTGCAGATGAGAAGACACAAAAAATTTTTTTTGGAAAAAGCAGGTTAGGCTTCAGTTAAGACAGTTTCCAACAGGGTGGTTAACTGACTATAGTGAAGGTCAGTACTTCACAGGAGTTTAAGAAGGGAATCAATGATTTTCTAAAAAATGTAAAGGGTGTGTTTAAATTTTTACCTTTCCCAAGTGTGTGTGTACAAGGATAGCCTATAATTAATAAATCATTAAATGAATTGTTATGATGTGAACATCTTTTTTTTTTTTAAGCTGGTAAAATATGATTATAATCAATAATATTTGGCAAGACAGTTTTAATACTACATTCTTTATTTGGCCCCTTAGGGTTTTTACAGGAAGAAGAGTGTATTATAGTATTACCACCACAAACTATCTGTCATATACATTGCCGATGGGGTTAAACAGTGGGTTATTTCTAATTATATTGATGATTTTGAGGTAGTACAGGATGACTTTAATCAAGCTGGACAAATAATTGGCAAATGACCTTTAATTATAGTAAATGTAATTTTGGGTTCTTGTAATATGGGTCACACATTTGATATAAATGGAAACCCACTCAGTAGTATGACTGGAAAAGACACTCAAGTCTTTGAGGCAACCCTCTTTTGCTAGTAGTATAACTTATAGAATTGTTGACTTTGTAAATATGTTGTTTACAAATCAAAAGAGATAAATTATCTCTTGTTATTAGTTAGATCTAATTTCAAAGGTTGTGTACAGATTTGGTCTCCTTATCTAAGAAAGGATAGCGAATTATTCGAAAGGGTTCAAAGGAGATATCAAAATGAGTAGGAATGAAAGGGTTATCTTATCGGTATAATTTTCATTTCTTGTTTTATCTAGAGAAAAGGGTAAAGGTGATGTTATTGAAGTTTAAAGATTATCCAGGGTATTGAGAGGATAAAGGCCACTGATTTTTTTGTACTTATCCTGAAGATAATAGGAGAAGAGAACACAAGTTTAATCAAGATTTGGAAAAGTCAGACTAGGCTCTAGTAAAGACATTTTTATTTTGTTTTTTCTGACTGGGTAATTAGCTTACAGAATGTTGTGTTGTCTGAAGTGTTAAAAAAGTACCTTACAAATATTGAAGAGGATAATTGATGGTTCCCTAAAAAAAGAATGTGTTTAAAATTTTATGATTCTGTCAGGGGTGAGGGGGTGGGAGTGCAGAGGTAGCTGTGAATAAAGGTTGTGTACAGATTTGCTTTCCTTATCTAAGAAAGGGTAGCGAATTATTGGAAAGGGTTCAAAGGAGATATCAAAATGAGTAGGAATGAAAGGGTTATGTTATTGGGATAGCTGTGAAGAATCACAAAGTGTTTCTTGTTAATTGTGCATGCATGTAAATCATGATGATGTATTATTGATTTGATTTTTATTTCTTGTTAATAATTTATATTATTTTCTTTTCCTTGCTAGCTTTTGTTATCCAAAAAAATTTATTACCAATTTTCAGGCCTCACTTCAAGTAGTATGTGCAGGGCTCATGATTAATTTTTTTTTAGGGAGCCAGTCGACCCACAATGAACCTGTATTTCATGAAAAAAAACAAGTCAAATCATTTCATTTGTTTTTCAGACCACTTAAATGATTATTATTTTATATATGATCTTTAATTTCTCATGGTGTAACAGTTAACTTTTTGTTCCCTTTAATAATCAATATAATTAATAAAAGAAAATCCATGCATCACTGTCCGTGTAATCTATTCATGTTCCCATATAACCCATTACCATCTAGCTGACACATATTTGTCAATAAAATGTCAAACACTTTTGATGGAGAGATGGAAAAATCATACAATTAACGTTACCACTAACTGTATAGCAATCATATCTATAATATTCTAAAACAACTGTTAATTAGTCATTCATGAATTTGAATTTGTAATAAGCAAAATCCTCAAATTAGAAACATGGAAATCATGCAAATAGCTCTAATATGGCTTAGGTGGTGATTAGTTAATCTTAAACTAGTGTCCTTTCCTAATCAAAATAGATAATAAAATAATTTTTTTTGATCATCTACATTTTGTAGATATTATCACATTGTTGTTGCAAAAGGACTTTGTACTTATAAATATGTCTACCCATGACATGCCGCTGTTGCCAAAAGATATTCAATCAAAATCGCAAAGAACACAGCATAAAAACCACCCAAAGTTAAAATTTTCTTAAATGAAGAGAACCAAGTGTTGATGATCTGAAAAAGAATGTAACAGAAAAAAAAGGAAATGGGGCTGAGTATGAAAATGAAAAAAAAAAAAGTTGTTACTGGGGCAAATGGGAGAGGGATAATAACTGGTTACACAATGACGAAGATGGTGGCGTAACATTCTGTAAGGTATGTCAAGAAGAGAATGTGAATATGAAAACTATTTGTAGACTATTAGCGATAAAGAAAACTTGAATCTGAAAATGCTATTAGTGGTCTACTAGCATGAACAGCCCGTAATTGTTCTGCACACAAGTTTCATGGAAAATTGGAAATAAGTTGCTATAGCAATTAATACACCCTTTGCTAATAGAGCACTAATAGTTTCAGAATACCACCTCATGATTGGCCAATAATAGTATAGAATCTAGCCCTATTTGTCAGGCAAGCATTTAACTTAACTTCAATTGGGCCATAGCACAAAATTTATGGAAATTCCAGTATTTTGGAGTTTTTCATTTTTTTAATGAAAATATGTATCTTAAAACATAAACCAAAAATAGATATATTGTATCAAAAAAGGCCAAAAATGCCTGAAAAGCATCAGAATTTTTGTCACCAAAAGACCAATCCTCTTACTGGAAATAATAGATCTAATCTTTGTATTATACAGCCATTTTTTTTCATCATTCAATTTATGTTTTAATAATTGCTTACGTAATGCAAATGTTAAATTTTTACACACAAAATGACTGGCACACATACTAATCCAGTTATCACAAGGCCATACCAGGTGAGACTAGACTCCAAGTTTTATGCATGGAACTCCTACACTGCACAAAATTCTGGCACATCATCCTTAAGGCAGTAACATTTCTTTCCACAGATGTATCTCGTCTTTCCTTCACAATTACTATTTAGAATGTTTCCTAGGTGCTCAGTGCAGAGCGTGCTAACATTTTTACGTGTCAATTTCACAAGTCACCAAGTTCTGAACTGTCTAGCTTTTAAACAAGGTGCATTCCAGCTGTGAACAACCAAACTGAAATTGATAGTTACACCTCTGATGTAATCAATGCCATAACCCAAGCCATCAAAGAAACAATCCTTGGGTATTTTTAGTTGCAATGAGGATGTTGATGTATTATGGAATGATTTGGATCAATTTGTAAGTGCAAAGTAATACATTTGGGCTATCATAATTTGGATTGTGTGTTGAATACAGATAGGAACCCATTCATCAGAGTAACTGAAGGAAAGGATTTCAATATGGTGGTGGATAAGACATCAAGGCAGTACACTTTTGCTAGTAGTATAGCTAATAAAATTTTAGGGTGTACTTGTAAGCATGTTGATTAGTAGTCAAAAGATGTGATTATAAAAATCACTAGTTAGGCCTAACTTAGAATATTAAGTACAGTTTTGGTCTCTATCTGAGAAAGTATATTGATATTGAATTTTAGGGTAACTTTATATTACTAGTTTATAGACGTATTGATTACAATATGTAGGTTATGTTCAAAGAGATAATTATACAAAATCACCAGTTAGGCCTAACTTAGAATATTACGTACAGTTTTGGTCTCTATTTGAGAAAGTATATTGGTATTGAATTTTAGGGTAGCTTTATATTACTAGTTTATAGACATACTGATTACAATATGTAGGTTATGTTATGTTCAATAAGATAATTATGCAAAAATCACAAGTTAGGCCTCACTTAAAATATTATGTATAGTTTGTTCTTATATAAGAAAGGGTGTTGAATTATTGGAGAAGGGTTCATAGTAGGGCTACTAGGATAATAACATAAAGACAACAAGAGGGACTTTGGTTCTTCAATGCTTTCCTTGCACACCCACTGAGAAAAAGTAAAAACATAAACCCACTCTTAATTTTTCAGTAAATTATCTATTTCCAATTTAAACATTGCAAAGTGTAGACCCCCATTACTGCTGACAGCAAGTCATTCGTTAAGCATATCATTCCAGTTGGGTGAGTAAGGACTGCCTTTAAGGACCAAATTATCTTTTTTTGTCTGTACATTTATGCTGGTTCAGACATGTTTCCAGTGTTACTTGTTTAGTATAAAGGTTGAACTGTAGTTTTTAGAAGTTGTAATATTGAAGGAGTTTAAAACAGGGTTGAATGTAAGAAAAGTTTGTATAAGTAGTTTCTAGTGTAATTTGATAGTTAGGTGGACCAAATGCTCCCATTTTTATCCCTTGAAAGTGGAAAACCAAGCTACATAATATAGCTCTTTATTCACACCTAAGTAATTACCCACCAAATTTTTTAAAGAATTCAAACTTGATACAACCATGTTATTTGAACCATTCCATGAAGACCTTTTTTTTTTCAATTAAAGAGGAGTATGTGTATAGTGTTTGAAAACTTAAAACTGTTACTCTAATACTTAAGTTAGTTTTTGTTTCACTATGTGATAATGTATAGGAAGATTACTTAAATATATAACAATTTTTAACACCTATATAAGGTCCCACAAGATTATGATTCTCCTTCACTCCAGTCCAAAACCCTAAACTTAAAACCTTCTGGAAATGATGTAACACGATTCATATGTTTGAAATGGTTAGGGATTTGGACAGATAGACTATGAATTACAGAAGTTCCATATTAAAAAGATCAGTTGAACACAGTAATAATATAAATTCTGAAAATCTGGATTTATGCATTTTGTAAGTCAGAATATTTATCACGGCCATAACCAGCACGGAAAATGGGCCCTTTTTTAACCCTTTTAAGTGGGGCTCCAGGCTGCGTGTTCGGAGGAGCTCTCTCTACAGAACTGGGGCTATAGGCACACCAATTTTTAAATAATACATAATGTACGCAGGAATTAAAAATTGATTTGGGCTCTTTTGTTGACTGATTGGAGTTGCTTTCCTATTGGTGACATTTGTTTCCAATGTTACAATTTTCATTATAGGGGCCCCCAGTTTTTGGGAAAAAGCAAGGAGACAATTGCTTCCTCTGCCTCAGCCTGGCTGTGGCCCTGTTTATGTATTTTTTTTAAGTTCCAAACTTTTCTTAGGAGTCCAACTTACTTGAGAAATTACAACTTTCTGTAACTTAGCAGCTAGAGAGAAGTTAACATTTTTGTTAGGTGAGAGATTTATATTTATAATAACCTCTTATAATAATTATTATTATTACCTTCACTCATTTGGGTTTTTACTGTGTTGTTAATGTTGTACATAAAATAAGTTTTGATATAAACTATAGGATACTCCATGCATAAGTAGGTCTATTAAGCCTTGCCAGAAATAGAATAATGTGTAGAAAGAATTGAAACTAAAATGTAAATTCTAAAATTTGAATCTTGAAATTTTCTTGTTTCGATTAAATGTTTTGTAATAAAAGTAATACTTTTATATTTTAACATTACAACAAATATAAAATTTTAATAGTCTTTTATAAATCTAATTATAAATTTGGAACAAGTGGTTTTGGACCCATCTAACAACATCCTGAGCCTCAGTCTTCCTTGATAGAAAACTATGCAACACAGCATTTTGAATGGCAACAAGGGGGTTCATTGGCTATCCCATGTGCATATATATAGCCATTTCTCACCAGATATTCCTCAAGCCCTCTCTTCAGTTCTCCGAATCTTGTTGTATGTCTCATGGCTGAAAGCAATCTGTTCCAAAGGTTGACCACCCTGTTCAAAAAAATTGTTTAATTTTCAACCAACTTTTACGCTGCCATATATTAAATTCATATCACCTAGTCTTATCAGTCTTACTGTTAAACATGAAAATAGATGATGTATCAATCCTGTCTATTCCCTTTATAATTTTCAACACTTCAATCAGATAACCCCTAACCCTTTTTTATCAAGAGAATAATTTTAAGGACTTAATCTGTCCTCACATAACAGCCCTTCCATCTCAGAAATCATCCTTTAAGTTCTCCTCTAAGCCCTTTTGAACAACTCTGTTTCATTGTTTTAAATAAGGAGGCAAAGGCTGAACACAGTATTCCAAATGAGTCCTAACAAGAGAGGTGTATGAATAAACATTAATATCTTTAGACTTGTATTCAATATCCCTGTATATATATAACTATTAGCTTTCCCGACAAACTGCCTGGAAGTCTTAAGAGACAATCAACCATAACACCAAGCACCTTTTCTTCCCTAACACTGTTGAATTGATTTCTGTTAGGGTGGTAGTTATAGTTTAAGGTAAGGTAGCCCAGATGCATTACTTTGTGCTTAGCAAAACTAAATCATATCTGCCAAATTATCTAATTCACCAAAAGATCCAAATCCCTTGGTAAAACAACAGCATCCTCCTTTCAACCAACTATGCTCTAAACTTGAATATCATCAGTAAACTTGACCAATTTATTGAACATTCCTTTATCACTATCTTTACTACACATCAAAAATATTATGGGTACCAGCACAGAACCCTCAGGTGTATCCCACTCACAACTCCAATCCAGTCTGAGTGAACTCTATTGCAATGCTTTGCTTCCACTCTTCTTACTAACCCTTGAGATATAGAGTTAACTTATTTCCCCACACACACACACCCATAGTGGTAATTTTCTTTAATAGTCTTTTATATGGCACTTTTTTTCAAAGTTTTTCTGAAAACCCAGACATACCAAATCAACACCTTTCCCTCATCGACATAAGCAGTGATGAAGAACAAAGATTGTCAGAATACTTGTGACACAGTATTTTCCCACAGATAATCGCCAATCTTTCTGTTATACTTCTGTAGCGTGCAGCTTCTGCCACTCTAAATGCCAGTTTGCTCTACAGATTTACTACCCTAATGGAGAGATAAAACAGCCTCAATTGAAGATGTCTGGCCTTTCTAAATTTTAGATATGTGACCTCTGTCCTACTATCCATTCAACACAGACATATGATGCATCAATCTTATCATTCCCCTCAATAATTTTGAATAGTTCTTGTAAATCACTCCCGACTCTTCTGTTTCCAAGAGAAAACAAATTGAGATCTTAACATATTCTCATATGACAACCCATCTATCTCAGAATCCTTCTAATAGCCATTCTCAAAATCATGTTCAACAGCTTAGTGTGTATAACATAAATATTACTCACAGTTCTCCAAATAAACCCTAACCAGTTACTTGTATAAGAAAATTGTGGCCTCTTTAGTTCTTAATGTCTCCTTTCTTTTCCTTTTTTGTCTTAGGAAAGAACTGAAACAGAAGGTGCTTTGTTTGTTTATATCAGGTAAGTCATTGTATTACTAAAATCACAGGCCTACACGTGCATCTTTATCCAAAACCTTTTTTTTTCTGTGTAAACATGTTAATATTAAATACCAAAATTTACTATTTTCCCTCTTTATTTTTCAGTGTATACAGCACTAAATTACTAATAAACTGTTAGTTTTCAAAACCAAGAAATCATTTATGCAAATATCAACTGCCTCTTACTATTCTTCTTCCTGTTTAATCTTTTCTTTCATTTGTTAGTAAGTGATGTAACTGTTACTCAATAAAAAGCATGAACACAGGAAAAATTAATGTATTGTTTAACCTTGCATTGTTATCCTGTTCTTATTTTAAGGATATTATGATGTTAAACCCGTATAAGCCTAGTAATGTCAGTTAAATTTTAGAATGCATATGCAACACATTTGAAGAAGTTGAATTTTGAGTACAGTTAACATGACTGTGCTTTATTAAACTCTACCTCTATTCATTATTCCATTCCTGATAAAAAAAAACAACAAAAAAACAGCTTTATTATAGTAAATACTTACTCCAGATCTGATTAAAACAACTGTATTTAAACACTTACTCTGGATCTTGTAAAAATGTCTAGATGGTATTTTTTCACAAAACCAAAACATAAATCTCATAATTGAACAGTAACATATCACAGTTTTTGCCTATTAGTGAAGCATTTTGTTTGCCCACTCAGTACTAATAATTAATTCAATGCACGAGTTTTTGGTGAAATATGTCATTTTGAATATAAATATTATATAAGGTTGTGAAGATGTCAAATTAATCACAAAAAATGAAGGAAAGTTTATATCACTATCCATGTGTTTTTTAAAAGAGTTTTCATTTGGAAGATATTGCCACAACAGAATTAACTCTCTCGATAAGGGTTTGATCAATATGACCGACCACATGACCTCTTTGTACTCCTTCAGAGTCTTTATACTAACTTTTAGTACAGTTTGTATATCTTCATGAAATTTGGCAGTCTTTCAGTAAACATTATAAGCCTTACACATACAAAAAATCATATTTTTAGTGAAGTCTTTTTAATAAATTAAAAAAAGATTCGGCCTTCACTATATCGAGTATTTGTTTATGAATAGTCTGTGTGCAAAGTGATTTTCATGTTAAGATTAAAAATACTTTTCTTCATCTAAAAAATCTCAAATTTCATTTGTGTAATCTCTTAAACCTCCTAAATACATTTCAAATGTTTGTTTTCAGTATATATATATATATTCTCTACCCTAACTCTATACAAGGTTGATCAATTTGACCGACCTCGTAACCACCAAAGAAAAATTGAAATAAATCTAAATTACCCTCTTTTTCTTTCTGGAATGACTTCAAATTGTAACTTGAAACCTGCAAATATTAAATACCAAAAACAATGACTCAGTCCTAGACAAAAACCACTTCCGACCCAAAAACCTGGACTCCATCCACAGAAAGTGATGGTTTGCATTTGGTGGGACATCAAAGGAGTAATTCATTTCAAAATCATTAATCCACAGCGAACTATCAATGCAGAGATCTATAGTCAGCAACTGGTACATTTAAATCAAGCCCTTCATCACAAATGCCCTTCACTCATCAATGGCAAAGGCATTCTTCTCCACGACAATGCACATCCACATGTGACACATTTGACGTAACACTAGATTATGGAGTTGGGTTGGGAAGTTCTTCCCCACCAACCATATTCTCCAGATATGGCACCATCAGATTACAATCTTCATGCATTGCAACACCATCTTAATGGGAAAATGTATGCAAATGTGGAAGGTGTTAATGAGGGCATCGACACGTTTTTTGCTTCAAAGCCAAGT